GAGCTTAGTCACTCAGGGAATTAGTCATGTTCAAAATAACAGCCAGGCTCAAAGAGATTCAGAGCAACCATTCCAGAGCAGAAGCAGCTAATGTCATAAATACATTAAGATGTCAGCTTGAAGCATTTCAGAGATTTTTCAAGAAGTGTTTAAAAAAAGAAAAGCCCTTTGATGAGCTACAAGGAAATCAGGCTCTCAGCAGTTAAAAAAACCTTGTGGTTTGCAAAGGCTGCAGAGCTGCTGAGCAGGAGGGACAGATGGACATGGTGACCACATGGGGTGTGCGGCTTCCCAGCAAGCACAGCCTGCTCAGAGCTCCACGAAATCCTGCTTCCTATGCCTATGGCACCCTCCCAGGGCTTTCCAGACACCCCTGATGGATGTCAGAGACAGAGGAGTTATCGGCGTGTCCCTTATCCAGCAGGTGGGAACTCCATGGAAATGGAGCCAGGATTCCTCCCAGCCCCTCCTGGCACTGACACAAGGACAATCATCAGCACGGAGCATGGATTTATCAAACATTTTTATTTCCCACAGCATCAGCTCCTTCTTAACCTGGACATTTGGCATAGCAGCACCAGCAGGAGGCTGTAACTGAAAGGTTAAAGCAGCCCCAAAATGGGAGAGAAATGGAAAATTGAACAGCAACTACGTAAGAAAGATCCCACAAAGAAATGAATTCGGTGGGATGGACTTGGGGCTTTGGGGGCTCCACAGCCCTGCAGCACCCACGGAATTCTCCACTGCACACAGAGCTCAGGCAAGCCAAGCACCGACCTCCAGTGACAGGGGGGAACAAACTCCCAAACTTCCCACTCTGCTGTGGAAATCCCTCCCTGCTGAGGCCACAGGGCATGGAGAGCGGGCAGCATCCTCTGCAGGACACCCACAGCACTCAGGAGCCTGTCTGGGACTGCTCCAGCAGCAGCCAGCCCTCCCTGCTCCCTTTGATCTCTGCAGGAAAACTCCTCAGGGCCTCTTCAGTCCCATTTTTCCTTAAATACCACAAGCTTCTCTTTCCATCCTGCCCTGGCCTGGCTGCTCTCCACCAGCTGCTTGTGCCTATCCAAACTTTCAAAACCAAAAGTCAAACCCAAACTGCATTTTTTTCTACTTCTCTTTTCCAATCTTCACATTGAGACTTTTAGGATTATGGAGTGCCAAGAGTACTTTGTATTTCCAAATACCCTGTGATTTTCAGACTGACAAGTGGAAAAGAATAAGTGAGGAAAAATGCTGCTGCTGACCTGCCCCACTCAGAGGCATCTCCACCACTTGCAGCACTTGGTCCTTTGATTCACTGAATTCATTTTCACCATACTTTAGGTTGTGATGATTTACAAGAGTTTACTTTTTGCTTACAAGAAAATGGAAAATATCGACGAAGTTTGATTTTAAGTACTTCAACAACAGGCAGTGTAAAAATATCACTATTTATGGCTGTAAAAGAAAAAAGCTGGGACTGCACTTATTAGAGGTGATGGCTGCACTCACCTGGACTGTCACAGGCACAACATTAAACCCAAAAGGAGAGCCTTTGTGAGGAAATACCACGGAAGATTCACACTTGTGTTACTTGCAATACAAAGATTTGGGAAGAAACACTGTCCTTGTCAGATAAAAAACTATTCAAGAAGAGGCTGTATTTTGTCCTGATTTAATCCAACTCATTTGATTACCATGCTGGATCAATACCCTCTGAAGAATGCCAAACCAAATAATCATTGCACTCACACACTGCTCAGATGTGCAGATTGATTCTCATCACTACCAATGACAATTAGTTTAATTTTTCTAGGTTAGGAACAGATACTAGAGAGTTGAGCAACGTGGTACCAGTGAAGCATGGAAAACACCCCTGTGGGATGCCAGCATAATCGGCAAAAGATTAATTGTTTAAAAAATGGGAAGCAGCACATGCAAAGGAGGGAAAAAAGAAGCTCCGACAGCTTAATATTATGGAATAATAGCTTGGGTTTAGGGGCTGATTTCAAAAAAAAAAGCCACCTGCCACAAGAACAAAAGGTACTAGCACTTGTTAAGCAATAGTGACATGCTTCTTAAAGATGAGTAACTCTGAAAGGGAGCAGATCTGAGTCTTGAACCCAAGCTGAGAACAACAGAAAACAGCATTTTGAATAAATCAGTGCTGTGCAGAATTCAGGAGAAACCAGGCTAAAATCCAGGTTTTGACCAATGTGCCTCAGCAGAACAAAGTCCAGGGATGCTGCCAGAATAAATGTGTATTGCTGGTCTTTAGCAGCAGGGAGAAAATAATACTGGAGCAAAAAAAAAGACAGCTGAAAAATCGTAACAGAGACGCAGTGCCCATGGAAATGGGTCCAGTGATGCTCAGGATGAAAGGCTGAGGTTGTACATGGCATGGGAGGCTGGGTGAACAGAGCAGCCAACTTTCACTAAGGAGCAGAGATGCTTGATAGTTCCACAGTACATTTTAGCCAGCAGACTGAGCTGATGATATTCCCACTGAATTACTGAAATGCAGCTACTCCTGGTGTGGAATAACTCACTTGTTTAGCACAGTCCACCAAATGATCAATATCTGAAGTACTAAAATTTCAAATAACTTACGAGTGAGGACAGCGAGGAAAATCTGCAGTGGAGGGAATACTGCTATCCACACTGGCACTGGGCCAGGACATCTGGACCAACACATCTTGTCTTGCTAAAGGAGCAGAACTTGTAGGGACGAAGTGCTGGCAGGACCTTGGCTTTAGGTGCTCCCAGTATCCCTGTGCTCCACGGGCAGGAGCCCCTGAACCCTCGGGCCACCCATCCCCAGGGAAACAGACTCCTCACCACCAAACATCTCTGCTGGATTTATCTTATTTGGTTCAGTTTCACTTTGCTGCTTTGAAATAATTTTTTTCTTTTCAGCTATCTGGAGATATGCAGAGTATCTCCAAACACTGCTGAGGCTGTTGAAGTGCTGTATGAAATACAGGAACTACAGCTCTGTCTTTTACTTTTCCCTTGTTAGAAGGAGCAATATTGGGAAATTCTCGCTTCAAAATCAACTAATGGAGTTTTACTTTCCCAAAAAAAAAAAAAATATCTTCTCTTGCAGCCTACAGTAACCACTGTAATTTCTCTCAAAAACAAAGCAAAGATTGGACTAATGAGAACAGAATAACACAGCCGGCAGCAAGGAAGGAATCTGTGAAGATGAGAGGACAAGGAAGTGTCAAGTCCTGTGCTGTGTCAATTAGAAAAGCACTTGGTCCTGCAGCATGCCCAGCCCCTCCCCAGCGGGGCTCAGCAGCCACCTGGGAGAAGAGGGAAAGGGAGGCAGGAGCCTCAGCCGGCACCACTTTTTATCCCCGACAAGGATAGGGGCAAAGTGCGGGGCAAGGAGGATGGAGGAAGGAGGAAGGAATGCCATCCCTCCGCGGCAGCAGAGCCCCGAGGTGCTGCTGGGCGGCAGAGAAGCCTTGAACAGGACCCTGAACAACCGTGTTCACTGCAGGCTGCTGCCGGCGCCCCGCACGGCGCTGCCAGCGGCGCCCGAGCCGTTCGGGAGCACAAAGCCACAAAGCGCCCGGGCCCGCCTGCGTGCGGAGCGGGGAGCAGAGGGGATGCAGGGCAGCAGGAGGGAGAACGGGCAGCCATCCCTCCCGAAGGCTCCCCGCTGCCGGCGGCATCTGCCGGTGCCGCCGGCGCCGGAACGCGGGGGCTGAGCCGGGTGACGCCAGCTCGGCCTGAGCCCGAGCGGTTCCGGAGCCGGGACCAGCCCGCAGCGATGCCCGAGCCTCCCGCAGCACGGGGAAGGCAGCGAAGGGCAAAGCCAACACCAGCCGCGCGGGGAACGCCAGAGCGAAGCACGGGCCGGGAGGAGGGTCTCCCGACAACCGCATCGCTTCCCGGGCAAGTTCCTGAATGAAGCGGAGGGGCCCTGCTGGGCTGGGGGAACTGCCCCGCTTCCCCCGGCAGCCGCAGCCCTCCGAGGCAGGAGCAGGGCGGCGGGAGCTGCCCTGGCCGAGCCGGAGCAGCCGGCGTGTGCCCGGCCGCCGCGGCCGCGCCCGGGCTCGGCACACCGGGCTCCCCCCGCACCGCCGCTCAGCATCCGGCGGAGGGGCACGGCTGACAGTCCCGGCTGCCCCGGGCAGAGCCAGCCCTGTGCCGGCACTCCTCTCCTCCGGTGCTCTCCCACCGCACACCCCACACGCCGGGGAAGCGGGCAAATCCTCCGCTTCTCCCCGCCGAACCCACCGGCTCGCCCTACGGAACCCCCTCCCACGCCCCGAGGCATGCCCACCCTCCTGCCTCTCTTTTAATTTCTTCTTTTGCTCAGCAGTTGGGGAATGCAGAGTCTATAAAATGGCTACAGAGTGATCAATGGTTTCAAGGACAGGGAGTAAAGGAGGAGTCAGGAGATAGGACGGAGGTTCATTTCCCTGTCAAAGTACTGCAATAAGAGGAAAAGAGAAAGACATAGCTACCTGAACTCACCATTCCTGTTCCATCCCTTAGCCACTGCATCTTGCTTCTGATGATGTCCTTATTATCAGAGAGGGGAAGAAAAAAAAATCCCTACTGCCTGGCGAGAGCTGGCAGGAAAAAAAAGAAGCCCCCCCACCCCCACCCTAGCCTGGAGCTTTCAGTCAGCCATCCCTCAGCCCGGCAATCCCGTGCCTGTCAGGAGCACGTTATTAGCAGCCTCCTCGCTACCTGGGATTGTGCTTATTTATTTCAGTCACGGACCGAGGGATTTGAGGGGAGGGGGATGTCCTTTTTCTTTCTTTTTTTTTTTTTTTTCCCCTTCCGTGCTTTGAAACTCTGCAGGAGGGGAGGGGAGTGGAAGCGAGGGGAGGGAGGGGGGAGCGATGCGAACTTGGGGAGGGTCCCCGCCCGTGCCCTCCTGCCGGTGGCCGGTCACCCTCGCCCCCAGCGCTGCAGGACGCCGGCTCTGCAGAGCCAGCACATGCTCCACGCTCAGCAAGGGCTGGGGATTTTGCTGACGTTCAAAGGGCAGCAGGTTCTCATTCTGCTCTCCACGTGAAGGATGAGTCCCCTTCCCACTGAAAGCAAAGCTCCCGGCCCGGCCCAGCGCTGCACCTGCCCGGGGTGATCCTCGCCCAGCGTCCGTGCCCTGCTCCCCACTCCGGCTCTTCATCCCCTGCCTGCTGCCCCGGATTTTCCCCACTTTCTGGCCACAGCTGCACGGTTAGGAAAGCAAACGCGCTCGCTAAGCGTTGCTCATCGATCCGGCCACCCACCACGTCGAGGGAGAGGAGCTCGCGGTGTCTGGCGCTGGTTAGAAGAGGCGGCGGCAGCATATGGGATGTGTAGAGCCAACTGGGAACGGGGCCGCATCCTCGCGGATCCTCCAGCCGGGACACGCACGTCGACATGGATCTCCCCATGGTGGGCACGGACACGGCGCTGGCAGCCAGGACCTGGCCAAGGCCGCTCACGGCGCCGGCGGCGCAGCCCCTGCCGCCATCCCGGGGCTCGGTGCCCACAGGAAGGGGCAGCCCGGAGAAGGACTGACACACCCCTGAGTACAGGAAAATGCCCCAGCAATATTCCCAAAATCCCCTCTTTGGCAGCTGAGTCTGCAGTTGGTTTCAGGGACAATGAGAGGGCAGGTAGGAATGGTGGAGACAGCGTGGGGAACGGCTGGCAGCGTGCTCTGGGCACTGGGGACACTGGGGACACTGGACATGCTGGATCCACGCACAGGATATGCTGCGGAGGATCTCCAATCTCCTCAGTTACAGCTGCAGAGGATTTAGGGTTGTGTTTGCATAGGTTTCTTCTCCACGCCTCAAGGGCAGAAGGGCATTTGGATCTCCTGCTCCTGGCCTCTGGAAGAGTCAACATTTTCCTGCAGCTGGAGATTTTGAGTCAGGGAACAACACGCAGCTCCTCGTGACTGCCACTTTCTGCTGGTCCTGTGCCACTCAGCAGGATCAGAGCTTAGGTGTCTTCACTTATTATTGGAATGGGACAGACCAGAAGTGCAGGCAGGACTGAAGAGATGATGCCCAGCATCTCTGCACTGCTGGGGCCCCACACAGCCTGCTCCAGTTCCATCAAGCCACATCCCATCACCTTTTGCACAGGCACTGACAGCCATCATTATTCCCAGAGATGGCTGACAAGAGAAGGAGTCAGGAGGCAAATGCTTATAGCTGTCCAAACTTTGGAATTCTGCCTAAGTTTCCAGTGACAGAAACACCAGGTAAGTTATTTCCATCCACAGGAGGGTTCTGGTTGGAAAATCCCACCTCTGACAGCCACTCTGGCATGTGCTGTCAGTCAGGGGCTCTCTGGGGAGAGCCCATCTCCTGCAGCAGGTGATGGCCACGGCTTTGTGCAGCCCTGGAACTCGGATCTCACAGGTACCTCACCTGCTCAGGATGTCAGACAGAACCAGCACAGCCTCACCAAGTGACTCAAAAGCTGCAGGGGCTGGGAGAGCTGGGATAGCAGAACTGACAGACAGACAGACATCCTGAATGGACATTGCTTCCCTCAGAAACTTGGACTGAAGACAGAGCAATGATCTCTGACTGAAGGGTAAATATTCTTTCCACCAGGAAACACTAAATGAGATCTGCCCTGTCGTCACCACATAAATACAACAATGATCCTCTGAAGCACAAAATCAGCTTTAAACCATGCACTGCATCATCCCAGTAACTGCACTCACTTTGGTCAAAGTTACACCCTGGCAGTGCAAAGGGAAAGGGGTTTGTCTGGCACGTCCCACCCTGTTGCTCTAACCGGGAATGTGGATGTGGAGGAGGAGGACAATTCCAGTGCAGGACTGCTGCACACGAGCAGAATGATCCCAGTTTCTCTCCTCCTGCCAGCTGTTGACCAGGCCTGTCAATAAGGCTCATATTCCACTGTTTCACTCCCTACGCCTTGTTTACACTAAGCTGATTTGAGAAGCAAACCAAGAGTTGCCAGGTTAGCTCTTGCTCCCTGCGAAGGTGCTGAAAGGCAAGAATGCCCCAAGATCAGCCAAACCTCTGAAAGGGCAGCAGGCTGCACACAAATCCCATCCTGCCCAGAGCACTGGGGCAGCCGTTCTCTCTGGCACAGGGAACCTCAGAGAGAACCCAGCCTCATTCCCCTGCCAAGAAAATGCACCTCTGCTGCCTCATTGTCAATGCAAAGTACTCTGCAGGCAGCCAGCGGGCAGGGGACCAAGCCCAGTGTCCCTGCCAGAGCAGGGGGAGCCGGGAAAAGCCACCTGTGAGCTTCTTCTGGGTCCTGTGCAGGGCCAGGAGCTGGGCTGGGGTGATCCCTGTGGGCTCCTTCCAGCTCAGGATATTCAGTGACTCTCTGATTCTCCACTTCCCCCCACTGGAACAAAGCATCTTCCAGGGAGGGGCACCACGTGCTGGCTCCCGTGCCAGGTGTGCCAGGGGATGCTGCAGCCCAGCACAGCTGAGGGCACAGTGGGCTCTGTGCCCAGGCAGCACACCCCAGACATGAAATATTGCCAGGCACACCCCCGAGCTGGGCGTGAGTCACAGAGCTCTGTGGGAGTGTGCCCCAGGGCACCGCTCTGGTAGGAAAACCCACACTGCCCACAGGGAAACAGAGGCAGCTTTCAGTGTGTGCTGCTTGGGCACAGAGTTTGCCCTGCAGGCTCCTGCCCTGGGATTTAGCCTGCAAGAAAATGGGATTTCTACCACGTGTGTGGGAGGGAGAGATGAGGCTTTGCTCAGGTGGTTTGTCTGGGGGATCACTCCAGAGGAAATCCCCAGGAAGAACTGCAGGGTTGCTCATCAATAACACAATGTCCCAGTCAGTCTCAGCAGAGCTGTGGTTTGGTCATATCTGACCTGTCACAGCCTCCAGAAATGTCTCTCTCTCTCTAGAATAAGAACCAAAATCAGCTGGGGTGCTCCACCCCCAGACAGCCCAGCCCAGTCTGGAGTCTCCCTGTGACTGCCAATGACACAAATAATGGGCAAGAACCTCCCAGGGGAGCAGGGAGGTGAAGGCAGGGAAGGAAGGGGCAGTGAATACCTCTGCAGTAGCAGCAACTGCCTGAATTATCAGATAATTGCCACTTTTCCACGTGGAACTTATTTTCTCCTAATTCTCTGCAGCTGGAGAGCCAATCAAAAGCCAAGCAACTGGGTATGAGCAGGAGCACACTCAGTATCACACCACAGTGAAACAGCAAAAATAACCTCCATCCTTGTGCCTCATCCAACACATCTGGAGGCATGGAAATGACACACAGGAGATTTTACCAACATTCCCACTGCAATCCAATCTCCAATGCAGTCCTCCCACAAGCCACCCTGCTCTGCCACCATTAGTTACGGCACTGCAGGGCAGCTTTTCGGAGCAGAGCCCTGGTTTGAGACACCCAGAACACAGCCTTGGGATCCCAAACATGAAGGTTCCTTTTCCTGCAGCCTGTGAGAGCAGCACTGCAGGATTTCACCTGCCTCTCCTCTTTTCTTCCTGCTACTGTGTTACCACATCACCACTGAAATCTCCTTTAGCTCTTCAAGGCCTCCCTTCCTTAATCCCACTGGAAGAGTTTTGCTTCAAACCACTCTCTGGATGTGGGAACTTTTGCCAAAATGCTTTTTCCTCCACCCTGCTGCTGTTTCCATGAGGGGATTTCATTTCTTTTGCTTTTCACCCACTGCCTTCCCTCCCAAGCTACGATGCTGCATTGGACAACATCCCCCAGGCAGCACCTCCCCACTGAAATTTCAGCCTGGAATTTCCTCACTGAGGCAGGAGAGGTTGGCAGTGCCCTTTGGAGAGCCCTGCCACACGCTGGTATTTCACTGCTGCAGAAGGCAGATGTTCTTTATTCCATATCAGAGAGCACAAATATATTTTCCTGCAGTCATTGTCTCTATTGAACTGCAAAGAACAGGCACCAAATCCTACAGGTTAATTAATGAGAAAGGAGGGGAATTTGTCTAACCTCTACTAGGAATTATTCAGCCTGGCTTTATAAACCAATCAGCCACGCTATACAGCTATGAAACACGCACCTTCCTGCAGGAAAAAAAGCCCAAACCCCATGGAATATTCTCCTAATGGCCCAGTGCCTCCCTGATTAGCACAGCAATAACACAGCGCTTCGGGCTCTTGCAAAGTATTATTATTATTTATGGTACATTACAAGGGAGTTTGTTTATTCTTTAATAGGAGATGACATATTCAGAAGCCCAGATACGAGTGTCCTCCTGAACTAACTCTGACACAAAGATAGTTTCAGTCATAAATTATAGAATCATAGAACCATAGGACTGGAACAAGTGCCTGCAATGCTTTGCTCTGATGGATGTGATTGGGATCTGGCTGTTCACCACAGCAAAGGAGAGAGATCATTACCTGAGAACCAGAGGCTTCCCCTGACCTCCCAAGGGGACCCAGTGGCCACTGGCAGGGACAAACAGGGCAGCCCAAACCTGTCTCCCCCTGCTCCAAATCCCTTCTCCAGTCTGGAGCAGTTGTATGCACACTCTGTATGTTGGTACAAACTCGAGTTATTGCTAATTTAATTATGTGCATTGGGCATTATTAATTAATTGCAGTATTTATATTTAGCAGACACAGTGCAAACAGCCCCCATCTGGCTCCAGGCAGAGGTGTGTGGCACACAGCCTGCTCCATGGGGAAGGAGGGAGGGCATGGACTGGGCATGGATTGGGCATGGCCACGCTCCCACAGACTCCCCTCAAATGGCTTTTTGTGGGATTTTACCAACAAAATGCCAGCTTCAGTTTTGGAGAGGATCAAAATAAACTGGAACTTCTACGAAAGCCCTAGTGGGAAACCACAGTTTGGAATCCTGTTCGTAAAAAGCAATTTTTTTTATTAAGTAACCTCTTCAGTTCACTGCCCACAGTCTGCCAGACACAAAGAGGTTCCTCCCAGCCCTCCTCAGCCTTGGGAAGGCAGGAAAACAGGCAAATCCTGGATCTGCCTCCTTCCAAAACATCTCCTTCAAGATGGTTTGCATGTTGTTTACTATTCCTTCTCCTGTCACCCCCGCCTGACTGACAAGACTCCTCATGCCTCAACCCATTTGATTTGCTAATAACTCTCAACTTTTTCCTTCTGCAAACCTCCCACCTCTGCTTTAATGAACCTAAGGAGTCTGTTGCCAAGGAACACTCTCTGTTGCCATGCCCTCTGCTTTAGAGGTGAAAATTAATAATCTGCAGACAAATTAAACTCTTTGGGTGATGAAGAAAGCACCCCAGTTCAGATCCCCAAGCCCAGTAAAGTCTCTCCAGCATCCAAGTCTTCTTTACATCCATCTGTCACTAGTACTGCCCTAGTTCTGCTTATTTAGGGAAAATCCTATGGAGATTAAAAAAAGGAATAAAAACTAAATTGGAAACTGAAAGGGCTTTACGAGCAGCACAATGCTCATATATAAATTCATTTCATTTGTCTACTAAGAGATCTGCAGCCAAAAAAGACTTTTTTTAAAAAAAGAAAACTAGAGCTTAGCATTGCTGTTCATGAGAAGATTGACAGGGAA